GGGGGGGGGGGGTGTAGTGGATCCTCCAGTATGTGCATCTTTATCTCGTGTTGCCAGCACTTTGCCTGGCTGCAGAGAGACAAGCAGCAGCCTCCCTGTCCTCCTGCTTCCTCCAATCCTCAAACAGAAGGCTCACTTTAGAGGATAGATTAAAGCTGCAGCCATGCTTTTACGATCAATACCCTCCACACGCTCGGATCCACGCTCTTCATTCAAACCTTTTCGTAGAGGGTGCGGATACATCACCCTTCCTCGTTAACCCCAGCTATTACAGTAACACCGTCCTCCCTGACAGGCCCCCATTTGAGCAGATGGCTATCATAGATCTGATTGGATTTGCTAATTCATGAGCTAAACGTTCCTTTTTTTCCTCCTCCCCTCCCTTCTCCCATTACGTCGACACGTGTTAAGCGACTTCAGGCTGTTGTATCTTAAAATATCAGCTGATGATGACCCAAATTGTGGTGGGAAATGATACGCTCGTAGCTACTTTTTCTTGCCCTTTGCAAGGGAAAAACATCATCCAGTTTTAGGACTCCAGGGCTGTGGTGAATTATAGTCGGGTTTTATCATCCACGAGCCTGTGGTTCCACATCAACACCTCTGCTCTGACACTTGTCACGGGCCGCTGCCTGCACAGGTGCCGCTGGTTTGACGTTCATCAGAGGCGATGACTGCTGGACCCAAGTGCTTCTCTCAACATAGCAGACAGAAGCTCCAGTCAAAGTCCATCCACCTCACTTCAGACGCCATCAGCTCTAATGTCCCGACAACTAAAATCCTTTCAGGTGGACAATCCTGCTCTGTTCAGAAAAAAAGAGCTTTATTTTCATCGCACTATGCAGAGTTTTCCTTTATCTTGTGGGTGGTGGAGTGTTTACGTGTGTGGGCGGGTGTTGGTCAATACTAATGACTCAATGATTACTTCACCAGGAGACTCCTGGATCTAACGATTGATTTTCCAAAGTACGCTGGTTCTCCTGTGCATTTCTCCTCATGGAAAGTCTTGACTTGTACAACCCCCAGTTTGGGAAAAAGTCGTGACGATGTGTAAAATGTAAATAAAATCAGGATACAGTGACTTCTAACTTGTATTAAAACTCATATTGTATTCCAGATGGAGCATAGCAAACACATCAGATGTCAGTTTTAATTTGATGGCAGCAACTTGTTGTTCCAGGTCTATGTTTCCTGTTGTGAAGCATCATTTCTTTTAACTGGAGACCAGTTGTTGGAGATTTTGGAGGGAACATTGTCCCATTCTTGTCTGAAGCATGATTCCAGCTGTTCAACAGTCCTGGGTCATCTTTGCTAGATGTTTTGCTTTATGTTGCATCAAATGTTTGCAGTTGGGGAAAAGACGACTGTATGCAGTCCAGTTCAGCACCTGAACTCCTCTCCTACAAGGCCATGTTGTAATGGACAGACTTTGTGGTTGAGCGCTGTCTTGCTGAAATATGCAAAACCTTCTCTGATAAAGATCAGGATGGGAGCACACATTGCACCCACTTCTTCCTTTTTGGGTCATGGGTGCGTCACTGGTGCCCATATCCAGCAGTCACTGAGCAAGAGGCGGGGGACACCCTGGACTCTCCGGGTACTCCGGTTTCCTCCCACAGTCCAAAAACATGCATGTTAGACTGACTGGTAACTCTAAATTGTCCCTAGGTGTGAGTGAGAGAGTGAATGGTTGTTTGTCTCTATGTGTCCCTGTGATGGACTTGTGACACATCCAGGGTGTACCCCGCCCCTCGCACAGTGATTGCTGGACATGGGCACCGGCGACCCCCGTGACCCAAAATGGAAGAAGCGGGTAAAGATAATGGATGGATGGATGAACATAGTTCCAGCTTGCTCAGAACTTGGGTTGTACATCAGATAAATTTGAAACTGCATCCTGGTTTAAAATAATATATTTAGAATATTGGAGGTGCTACTAAAGTAGAGAAAATTCTAAATAATAAATTAGTAGAAATTACAAATTAGACAAAGCTCTGATTGTTTTAAGATGAAAATCAACAGGTTTGGTGTTAGTGGGGAAATAAGACTCGGACTTGCTCTCTGATCACTCAAGGTTTAATATAAGTGTTATGTGTTGTCATCATTGTATGTTTCCATACAATGGTGAAATTGGTTCTCTGCATTTAACCCATCGCACCTGAAATACACCCAGGTGGAGCAGTGGGCAGCTATATAAGCACCTGGTGAACAATTTGAGATTGGGTGTCTTGCTCAGAGACACACGGCATATGGGAATGGCTGGGGATAGAGCCTGGGGCTTTCGGGTCCCCAGTCAGCTGCCCTACCTCTACCCCAACTCAGCCCCATCTTAAACATCTTCTGAACGCGGTCTGGGACTCATAATTTAGTTTTATGAATCAAAAACTACTTAAAAAAAAACTTGAGAGGATTTAGCGCCCTGTGACTGAGAAAAATCTCAGCAACAGTGTAAATCAAATCCCGGACGAGCCCCCAATATTTTGTGGCCTATATCAGAGACCATAATAAAAAAGGGCAAGCATGGTGGAATAACTTAGAAATGTTTTATTTTTAACTAAATCAGAAAGGAATCTAGAAAATAAAAAGTGGAGCCCCTCTTTCTGAAAAGGGTAGTCTTTAAATGAACTCCCCCAGAAACTCTGCCCAGCTGTTTTCAGTTCCCAATTAGCTCCCAATCACCCATGGAACCCAAAACACATACAGGAACCCAGAGAATAGGGCCTGGGGTCATAACATTGGAGACGAAAAAAGGGAATAAATTGCTACCAAACTGAGACATAATTAAGACCTTTTGTGACTAAATTTCTGCAACAAATTTTGCACAAATCTATGCTTTGTTCCATGAATGATAGTTACGCTAATGTGTTGATACCAATTTGGTTTGATTCCAATTAAAAATGTACATATTTTCTCACATCTTTGTGCTTCCAGCTGTCACACCACAATGAAATCCAAGCTTAACTGACTCATGTTACTAAAAACTATTACCGGTAATCAGGTTGGATACATTTCAAGCGCCAAATAACCTGGTTGCACTTACCCACCCATGATTTTTAAATGAGTATTTATAGTAACTTTTTGATACTCCTTACTGTGAAGCAACAGTGCTTTACTCTTTGGACAAACACTAGATAAAGGCAAAGATTTAAAATCTAACTCTCTGTTACTAAAAATGCACATTCCCTGACATGTTCATCAAAAATAGCCCAAACATAAACAGAAAAGTAAACTTGCTGGTAAATGGAGATTAAAAACTGAGCCAACTAATAAAAGACACAGAATGCAAAACAAATGGGCTCAAAACTATTTGCCAATTTAAAAAAAAAAATGTTATGAATGTTTGATTCAGTCTGTTTTGTTGTTATTTCATTGCCCTCAGTGAATTTTAACATTTCAGCCACTAACAGCTAAATTAGCTGTTAGCGATTAGAACATCTGATTGTCAAGTATTTCATAAGTATTTTATGTTTAAGGGATTTTATTCAAGAACCCAACTGGTCTGAGTCGACCAATATCAGAAATTCAGCTGTTTTTACAGCAAGGTGGAAAACTCGCAGACATAGCAGAAGTCTATGAAGATAAATTAGTCTCAAAAGTAATCACACAAGCATGCAACGATACTTGTATACATACAAGAAGTGTACCACAAGATTCACAAATATATAAAGTTTTCAAATGTATACTTTTCAATATGCCCAAGTACAGTATGGACAAGTTAATTCCACTGAGCCACGGGAACTCATTTACAAGAGACCTGAATTTTGACAAAGAGTGATGACAACTGTGGACATTCATAAAAAGCATACAAATTCAGTTCAGGCCACATTGAGGGAACACTGCAGGTAATAATGTCCTGAGAGCGCACGCTGTAGCTGCACTCACGCAGCGACATGTAGGAGGAGATGTATGAAGGCAGCAGACCAAGAAGTGATTTAAAGATGAAAATGTACCAGTCTGTGTAAAGTTAATGATGACCAGTTAACCAGTGAATACTGGGTGCAGTGGTGGGTACAGCAGTTAGAGCCAAGTTATGAATCTTAATGCAACGTGATAGACAACATCCAACATCTGCAGGGTTCTTGTAGGAGCGTTCATGTAAATAATGTCACCGTAATCAATAATACAGTAGACAGTAATAGACAGTAAAGGAGACAGTAATACATGCATTCATTACATCTAGGCTTGATTACTGCAATTCACTCCTGTTTGGTATCAGTCAGACCTCCATTGCACGACTACAACTGGTCCAGAATGCAGCAGCCCCATTTTTAACCAGTACAGGCAAAAGAGAGCACATTAC